AAAATACAGGACTGTCTAATCCTTTTTCGTTCCTCAGCCCCTTCCTTCACTTCAAATCAACTTTCAACCTCACGTCAAAGAGAGACTAATCAACCTACCTTTTGGCTGAATATAGCTTGCGGTCATGTCACACTGCTCCACGCCCGATCCTGTATCCCTGCACACTTCAGGAGGCTCCAAATAGTCATCAACCTCAAGGAAATAGCAAACGGATTTAGCACGACACATTTCGCCATTAACCCTCAAGTCCAAGTCACCCGTTTCAACCTTCAGAGATTTCAGTTCCTCTGTTCCCACTTTCGTCATCTTGGGAGGTTCTATGTCTGGGAGAGGGGAGAGGGGGTGGGAGTAATTAGTGGTATTACCTTTAACTGATTAAATGTAAACTTAGAAGGGTTAATGATGATGTAGAAGTGATACTGATGAGGGTGGTGGTGGTGGTGGTTGTAGTAGTAGATGTAGAAGTAGTAATTAGTCGTTGATGTATTTGTTGCAGTAACAATAAGAAAACAATTATGATGATAATAGTGATATTAATAACAAACTTCAACAAAAATAACGATAATCGAAGTAATAATAATAATAGTAATAATAATAATATAAACGATAATAATAATAATAATAACGATATCAATCATAATAACAATAATAATAATAATAATAATAATAATAATAATAACGATATTAATGTAGTTTATAACAGCACTACACCAGTAATTTCTACTGCTACAACTACTGTTGCTACTATCGCTATTACTCTTCATAACACTGCTACTACTGCTACTACTGCTACTACTAATAATAATATTGATAAAGCAACAATAACAACTTATGACAATATTCATGTGACTAAAACAGAATAAACATGATCATATTCATATTTAAATATAATACACCTAAAATCAAGACCAACAGAAGAAAATAGTAATAACAAGGATAATAACAGCAAAAGAGTGACAACCATAATAAAACATAATATAAGAAGTCATTTTAAATTTCCCTCCTATGTTGGTGCTGTCATCTGTTGACGGGCGAAAGAAGTACTCAATCATTGTGTGTAATAGTCGTCATTTCGAAATAAAGTTGTGAATTATGTTAAAGCTTTGCGTTGTACTGATTTATGTGAAGATTTGGAAAAACGCCAGAAATTGTGAGTTTTAAAAGGAATACATTTTTTTTTCTCTCTAAAACGCAATAAGATATACTATGGATGACCTTCTGTTACTAAGAACTGATTTTTAAAAGATGTACTTTGATTTCAGTTTTTCTTTTCTTTTCTTTTGTATATTCATAGTTCAAACAAAATAATGAAAAGTCTAAGTTGGTATTTGTAACGAAATAAGTAATATTTTCTGATTGTGTTTATTAGTTGGCGGTTGTCAACACACGCCGTTTTCTCCTTTTTTCACTGTCTTCATCTGAATGTATGGATTTTTCTAATAAACCTAAATAATAATTAGTTTGTACATGATAACAGTTGGTTCCAATATATTATACCGAAGAAAGTATGTAGTACCCATAACAACAATATTAATAATGATAATAATAATAATAAAAATAATATTAGTAAAAACAACAATAACAATAATAATGATAATAATAGTAACAGTAATAGTAATAACATAACTACCACCACAACAACAAAGGCAGTATTAACAAGCAATATTCAAGACCATAATAACAATCACACAACACTCATTTACCTCCAAAGTACAGAAGGGCTTTTCCTGAAGCTAGAATGTCGCCGTCCATCCCTTCTGCCCCGTAAGCAACCACTAACACCGTCACCTCCACCAGAGTTTGGGGCTGATCAACATCTTCGAACGTGATAATGCAACTGCTTGTGTTAATGCTGCCGGGGGCGCCACTGAAAGCGATGTGCTGCGGAGCTATCTTATCCTCCGGAGGGTCGATCATAATATAGTTCCAGTACTGGATCCCGGTTACCTCCGCTGCAGCCGAAACCGTCAGCTGTGTTTGCAAGGCCGATTTGGACACCTCGGAGATTCGAATGATATTAAGGGCCGTGACAGATGCTAGAGACAAAAAAGAAGGGATGTTTGTTATATATGTACGCTTTGGGGGTTTTCGTGTGATTCCAAGAGTCTTTTATTTTGACAAGTCTGTTGAGACAGAAGTTTACATATCAAGAGGATGAGATACCTGAGATTATCCTCACCATAATGGAGAAAGAGAGAGAGAGAGAAGACTCGTCTCCCATCTTATTATTTTGACTTTTTTCTTTGAATCTATTCCTCTTTGTGTGTTTTTATCTGTTAATATTATACATTACCGCAGCAATTAGGAAGCATGCTGATGCATACGAACAGTTTCATATCAGTTTTATATAACCCTTTCTTTACTTGAACTTACACACAGGTCGTCCATATAAACACATATGTGGCGAAGTGTTCATAAAACGATATGGATTCAAAGATGCCTCACCTGAAGCTGATGGAACTGCGGTTGACACGGCCACGTTATCTTTCTTCACCTCCGCTTTGTACGCCGTACCTGCCTTCAGCATGGTGTAGTATGCTTTACAAGCTCTTTGCTCAGCCTCTCCCGCCCCACCACACTGAACGGATACGTCAGTAAAGCCTAGATCATTATTGTTGTTAACGTGTACATTAAATAATTGGTCACTGGAAGCTCGCCACCTGACCTCGAGATCGCCGGCGTCACTGAACCTCAGGGCACTAGTCTGAAAGTCTACAACACAAAGATATTAATAATGATAATGATAACACCACTACTACAGTTGGAGATAGGCACTGTATAAAGATAGTATAGAAAATAAACTCCCATTCACTATTTACCTCAGCAAGACTGCAAAAGAAACTCTCTCACCTTCAAAATCAATCAGTCTGGACCCTGTGACGGTGTCGGTTCCATCCACACCCACAGTAAGGAACTTAAACGTGGTTTTTAGTTCAGACAGTATTGACGTGACGTCAGATGAACATGTATTCTCGGTCTCACACGAAAAACTCTCCGATACTCTCCCGCTGTCTCCGGCATTGTACAAAACAGCTTCCATGGTTTTGAATGTCGACGAAACGGTTATTGTGGACTTGCCATCCGCTTCGTGGCTCAGTTCGACTTTCTGCACTTCCATGTCTAGAAGGCAAAATGCAGTGTTTTAGGAAGAGAAATTACAGTGCAGAATAACGAACTGGAGTAGCCGTATTTTCCTATTCATTTATGGTTTAGTAAAATTAGTAAGCATCATTATCATGGCTGTTACTGCATTGCTATGATTGTGGTTAATAAAGAATATTGCCATGATAGTGATTATTCTATAGTCCTTAATCACGAAAATGCAAATATAATAGAAAGTATTGTGAAAATTCATAAAACACTCGAAATAGTGTTATTCTAATTCATTATGATTATGGACATTATCACAAAAGTGGAAAAAAAGCAACTCACCATTAACATTTCCTGGAGTCTGAGTCAAATCACACTGGTTAACTATTCCTCCGTCGGGCACTGTGGTACCGAGGGTCACACACACTTCGAGTTGAGAGGCAGCGCCGTCCAAGTTCAGTAAGTAGGACGTTCCTGCGGTAAACTGGATGTCGTTGATCACCAGGTCCTGGTTTGTGTGGATTCTCAGAGGCGGCGTGTCTGGCCCTCCGACCCAGTTCATGGTTGGCTTTATATCTGGGAAGGAGAAGGAGAAGGCGGTTTCGCTTTGATCAAGCCATGTCTTGAGAAGGGGAGTGGGAGGGACGCACGTCGCGCACAAACACACCCACACACACAAATACACACATATATGTATAACCACATGTAAATCGATTTACGCCATAAACTCCATAGTAAGACCTAGAATGCTAGCTCCATTTCAAGAGCTTTTATATGGCTGGATTGTAGCATGCGCATTACCAGTGTGCCACACACACACGCACACACACACGCACACGCACACGCACACGCACACGTACACACACACACACACACACACACACACACACACACACACACACACACACACACACACACACACACACACATATATATATGTATATATATATATATATATATATATATATATATATATATATATATATATATGCGCAATACACACACACACACACATATGTATATAAATATATATATACATATATATATATATATATATATATATATATATATATATATATATATATATATATATGTATGTATGTATGTATGTGTGTGTATATGTGTATATATAGACACACGCACACACACATACACACACACACACACACACACACACACACACACACACACACACACACACACACACACACACACATACACACACACACACACACACACACACATATATATATATATATATGTATGTATATAAATATATATATATATATATATATATATATATATATATATACATATATATGTATATATACATACATATATACATATATGTGTGTGTGTGTGTGTGCGCGCGAGCGCGCAGGTGCGTGTGCATACACAAATACAAACATGTAAACACACACACTTGCGTACATGTATATATGTATATATATGATATAATATATATATATATATATATATATATATATATATATATATATACATACATATATATATATATGTATATATATATGTGTATATGTTTACACACACACATACATATATACTAAAATCTAATGCCACGTTATGATAGCGATAAAACATATCCATAACCTTCCCAATCCTCCCAGAGAAAAACGGACCCCGCTCACCCTTGAGGGTCACCACGACCTTCCCGGCGGCCAGGGCATCGAAGTCCACGCCGTCTTTGCCATGCACGACGAAAAGGATGGTCACCTCGACGCCTGTGTTTGGCAGCTGCTGAGCGTCGAACACCACGGGCGTCTCCACGTTAATGATACAATTCACGTCCTTGATGGTGATCTGTTGCGTCGCCTCGTTGCCGGAAGGAGGGTCAATCACCACGTACTCAATGTATTCAATGCCTATGACTTCTCTGTCAGCCGTGACCGTCAGTTGCGTCTGTAGAGGCGATTCCGAGACCTGGGCCATTTCAGTGATGGTCACTGGTATCCCTAAGCCTGAATTGAGCAAGTTGAATGATTGTTAGTTCTCATACATGTTATGTACATATACATAAATCACACACATTTTTACGTATGTCTGTATGTGTGTGTACATTTGTGAATGACATGCCCTCTTCCTATCTCTCTCACCTGGCGCTGCTGGCACGGTGGCAGAAACAACTGTGTTATCCCTTTGCAGCTCTGCCTTGTAGGGCGTTTCTGCTTCCAGCTTGGTGAAGTATGCTTTGCAGGCCCTGTTCTCGGCCGCTCCCGCTCCGCCGCACTGCACGGATACGTCAGTGAAGCCGTCTGGAACCTCAGTGTCCAGGTGGATCTTGTAGGTTTGCTTGCTGGAGGCTCGCCACCTAACCTCGAGGTCGCCGGCGACAGGAAGTCGCTGAACACGGACCTTGAAGTCTAGAAAGGAGATCTAGTGATCAGGAAGGAGATAAGCCGAAGACAATAGTCAAGATGAAAGCAAAAACCACCAGTGAACAGACAGAGGCCGGAATCCAACCAACCTTCAAAGTCAACCACCTTTGCCCCTGTGACTGCCCCTGCATCCACACCCACGGCGAGGACCTTGAACGTTGGATTTAATTCAGATATTTGGTCACTGATGTCAGGAGAAGAACAGATGTCCTGGGTGTCGCAAGAAAAGGTTTCGGGTATTACTCCGCTGGCTCCGTCTTCGTACAGGACAGCTTCCATTCCAGCGAAGGTTGAGGACACAGTCATGACGTGCTTTCCTCCGTCATAATTCAGCTCGATCCCTTCGACAGTCATAGCTGGACGATGAAACAAACGCGAGGTACAAATATTGAAACAAATACAATATTCTTATCAGTACAATAAACTTGCTTCCCTGCATCATAATTCAACTCGATCCTATCGATGCTCAAATCTGGAACGTATAGTACAGTTCAAATTTTAAAAAAGTCTTTCATGTGATGGCTCTTGAATAATTATCATTGTTGTATTCCACTTATATGACGATATAATAATGTAGCCACCCTAGTGTGATAACTGATAATAAAAATAAGAATATGAAATAATGAAAATACACCTAACCAATGGAAAGGTAAAAACTACAGCAAATTCACTAAGGTTGCCTCATATAGTATATTCCCCATACGATGAGGAACACGAAGTACCTATAGTGTTCTCAATAGTCTGCGTCACATCACACTGCAGCACCGTCCCTCCGTCGGCCGCGTTCTCGAGGGCCACGCACAACTCGGGTGGAGTCGAAACGGCTTCCAGGATGTAAGACGTTCCGGCGTCGCATGTTTTCCCGTTGACGTCCAGCTTCTGACTGCTCACGATTCGCAATGGCGCCGTATCTAGGCCTCCGACCCACGTCATTTTGGGGTTTATAGCTGAGGTTGATGATGTTCATTTTAAGTTTCTCTATTCGTTTTATTTTTATTGTGTTTGTATATATATATATATATATATATATATATATATATATATATATATATATATATATATATCACATGATGTGTATATATATAGCCTTTGCTGGTCCCTTCCTATTGATCATCCCAATAAAAAATAGTTATTAAAGAAACGTCCTCATTAAATTGTTACTTATTTCATACTGAATCTATTAAGAAAAATAAGCAAACTCGAAACATCTAAATTCAAATAAACACTGAAATAATGATAATATTAGTAATAATAACAGTAATAATAATAATTATTAATAGCAGTATCATCATCAATAAATCCACCCGCCAATCTCGGGAAAGGAAAAACTGGCAACTCAACCTCACACTATAGAGGATTCCGATTCTCTGTCTCTCTATTTTAATCGAATCCCCTGGCATTTATTAATGATGTCTACCTATGGTTTGTATTTCTGTGTATGTGTGTGTGTATCTGCGTGTATATACATATACACGCACATACACACACACATACACATATAAATGCATACATACATACACACGCAAACACACACACACATATATGAATGCGCATGCGTGTATATATATATATATATCATACATATTCATATAAAGTCACACACACACATACACACACACATATATGTGTGTGTGTGTGTGTGTTATATACTACTCAAAGGGAATCGCCAATAAGCACGATAACTATTTACCTTCAAATGTTACTACAACTTTCCCGGCAGCCAGAGCGTCGGAGTCGACACCGTCAGCCCCGTGGACAACCACCAGAACTGTCGACTCTGCGCCTGGGTTCGGCAGTTCCGCAACCTCGAATATAATGCTGTTGTCTCCTGCGGTAATGTTCTCCGTGGTGTTCTTGAAGACGATGCGTTGTGTTGCCTCGCCATCGGTATCACCATCGTCGATCACCACGTATTCGACGTATTCGACCCCCGTGACCTCTGCATCGGCCGAGAACGTGAGCTTCGTTTGCAAGGGAGATGCAGACACCTCCGTGAAGCGGGTAATGGTGACAGGCGTGTAAGCTCCTGGTGACGGGGGAGATAATATATGAATACGTACGTATGTGTGTGTGTGTGTGTGTGTGTGTGTGTGTGTGTGTGTGTGTGTGTGTGTGTGTGTGTGTGTGTGTGTGTGCGTGTGTGTGTGCACGTATATTGACATGTATACACAAACACATACACGTGCGTGTGTGTGCGTGTCTTTATATGCCACTATAATATCCTCCCTTTCTCACCTGGCGTTGTTGGCACGGTGGCAGAAACAACTGTATTATTTTTTTTCAGCTCTGCCTTGTAGGGCGTTTCTGCTTCCAGCTTGGTGAAGTATGCTTTGCAGGCCCTGTTCTCGGCCGCTCCCGCTCCGCCGCACTGCACGGATACGTCAGTGAAACCGTCTGGAACCTCAGTGTCCAGATGGATCTTGTAGGATTGATCGCTGGAGGCTCGCCACCTAACCTCGAGGTCGCCGGCGGCACTGAATCGCTGAACACGGACCTGAAAGTCTAGGAAGACCAAGTGCTTTTCAGTAACATCAGTTTATCCTCAAGACACGTTTTTTCTTTACGGGCATGTTATTGGAGCCTGCTGGAAACATTTTCTTTTTAGTAGCATGCAAGAAAGTGATGCATTCCGGCCGGATTATTAGATTATATGAAATAAAGCAAACTTTATATGTAAGAATTGAGTATGATAATCTCCTGTGAAATGCTCATGTGTTTTGTGACCAGAAGGCAACATCAAACAAGTTTCAAAGTGTTTGGGACAGTGGTTCCTATTTTATGGCCCCCGACCAATATATAATAATCTTTATGGTACCGTACAGTGTCTGTCGTCTTTCAGAATCAATTACTAGTCATGAATAGTGCACACGTACCACGTTATGGGAAAATCCTAACCCATTGATATGCGAGAAATAATTATATACAGGTACTATAGGTGAGATAAAATTCAGTACAATTCGACGTCCTAATTTATATACTACTCCATGGCCCCTCGGAATCCAGTAAACAGACAGAGGACGGAATCCAACCAACCTTCAAAGTCAACCACCTTTGCCCCTGTGACTGCCCCTGCATTCACACCCACGGCGAGGACCTTGAACGTTGGATTTAATTCAGATATTTGGTCACTGATGTCAGGAGAAGAACAGATGTCCTGGGTGTCGCAAGAAAAGGTTTCGGGTATTACTCCGCTGGCTCCGTCTTTGTACAGGACAGCTTCCATTCCAGCGAAGGTTGAGGACACAGTCATGACGTGCTTTCCTCCGTCATAATTCAGCTCGATCCCTTCGACAGTCATAGCTGGACGATGAAACAAACGCGAGGTACAATACAATATTCTTAACAGTACAATAAATTTCTCAGATTTTATAAATTGTAGAAATCATCAACCCTCGAGTCACGATGAATAATGTAAAAACTAAAAACTATAATGATCATGACAGCGTTATGATTACTGAAATATCCATCGCATAAAGAATACCGTTCACTTTCGTTACGAGAGTTGTTTCAATCTGTACTATTATCACTAATTATAAAACGAATAGCAATGAAAATAAAAGCGAAAAAAATTAGAACAAATAACACCTTTCCCTTTCTCATGGCACCTTACTAAGGAAACTACTCGAACCTTCGGAGTTTCCTATAGACTGAGTCACATCACACTGCATGACTATTCCTCCGGCGGGCGCTGTGTTGTTGAGGGTCACGCATACTTCGACAGACAGAGGAGCATTGTCGAAGTCCAAGGAATAAGATGTTCCGGCACGGAAGGCAACCCCGTTGATTTCCACATCGTTGCCCGTGCTAACTCTCAGAGGCGCCGTGTTTGCCCCGCCGACCCAGGCCATTGTGGGGTTGAGAACTGGTGGTGAATGTCATTATTAGTAGTATCCTTAATGATGCTACGATTTTTATCATTATCGTTTTTGATGTAACCATTATCCTTATCATTATTACCATTGTTTTAAACATTATCATTGTTATTGTTGCCATTAATAATAATAATAATAGCAATGTTATTATTAACATTATTATTATTACTATTGTAATTATTTTCATTGTTATTATTACAACTGTCAATATTTTCATTGTAATTATTACTATTGTCACTATTTTCATTGTTATCATAATTGTTATTATTACTATTGTCATTATTTTCATTGTTATTATTATCATTGTTATTGTTATTATGGTTACTGTTATCAGATATATTGTTAGTGTTATCATTATTATTGTTGTTGTTGATGCGGTTAGTAGTATTAGTAGTATAGTTGAATAATTTTTGTTATTCTCATTCTCATAAATGTTATGATAATCTCTTTATATCTGATTGTTATCCATAATGTGAACATCCTCCTTTTCAAAAATGCAAAACACAGAAATATCTCATTTTTAATGCAATCATATTTTAGCATAAATGATTTTGAAAGTCCAAAATATACTAAAATATAAAGAGTAATAGTATATATAGTGCAATTTGTCTGTGTGTGTTAAGGCATGCGTGCGTGGGAAGGTGTTTATAAAATGTTTCTCTAATAAAATATTGTCCTCATACCATAGAAATATGAGTATAAATGTATCATACAGTAGTATATGGGTAAGGAATGAAGGTACTAACGAACAGACTTATCAATATATTACTAATACTCCCAAAAATAATAACACATTTTTTAGTGCAATTAAACTGAAACAGAGAGGATGGTAACGACCAGAAAGAATTAAATAAAGACGTGGAAAAAGAGAAATGAGATAGCAATGGCTAATATATAATATTCTTGTAAAAGTGATAACAAAAATAAGACCAAGGAAGCAAGATTTATAAGTATACGAATAAACAGTTTACCTTCGAAGACCACTGTGACTTCCCCGGCAGCCAGAGCGTCGGAGTCGACACCGTCAGCCCCGTGGACAACCACCAGAACTGTCGACTCTGCGCCTGGGTTCGGCAGTTCCGCAACCTCGAATATAATGCTGTTGTCTCCTGCGGTAATGTTCTCCGTGGTGTTCTTGAAGACGATGCGTTGTGTTGCCTCGCCATCGGTATCACCATCGTCGATCACCACGTATTCGACGTATTCGACCCCCGTGACCTCTGCATCGGCCGAGAACGTGAGCTTCGTTTGCAAGGGAGATGCAGACACCTCCGTGAAGCGGGTAATGGTGACAGGCGTGTAAGCTCCTGGTGACGGGGGAGATAATATATGAATATGAAAGGAAAAAAGCCACAGTAAGAAACGAAATTTTGTTTCTTACGGTGTTTTTTTTTTTCCTTTCATTTTTGTGTACACGTTACTGTGTTTGTGTTTGTGTCATATATGAATATGTATGTGTGTGTGTGCAAAACCGCTAACATGCTCCGCCCACTCTTGTGACGTAATGGGAATTGCCATGGTTGACGGCTAGTTGTTTACTGGATTAGTTATTTTTCGACTGGTACATAGTATTTTGGAATAGGTAGCATTTGGTATCTATTGATGGGTTGAGCTGTGTTATAGATACTCAATATAAGTACGAATATGCATGAAAATAACTGAGGTAGGAGGAATGCATCTGGTAACTCGATAAATGTTTACCGCCAAACGCAATTCCTGTCGTGTCATAGATGTCGGGTTAGGCCGAAGAGGTCGAAAAAGACGTCTCGGTAAAGCCTAGGCCATGGCAGAAGAGACTTTTACACACACACACACACACACACACACATATACACACACACAAACACACACTGCTTATAGTTTCATACATATAAACAAAAGTGCAAATGATATACAAATATGTATATATGTATGTGTAGATAGAAATGGCACAGTGTGTGTACATTTTCTGCTGCAGTCTTTTTTTACGGGGACGTTTAACTATACTATAATTGTTTCTCCTTTTGCTTTAGGAGGCTGTAACACATTTTCACCGCCTGTCTGCTCTATCAACCTGATTCGCCCATATTAATTTGTTTTCTTTTATTGTTATATTAACAATTTGGACTTAGTCCTGGGTATGTCAAATTGATATTATTAATTATGGCACAAGAACAAATGTCTGTATATGAGCAAAAATGCTCATATATACAAATATACGCATGTATCTGTATATGTTGGGTAAAAATCCATCTTTAATTACCAGACGTTGGCTTGTGGGTGTCGTAGACTAGAATAGAAGAACACACCTAGCATTACGGTAAGAAAGTTTAGGATGCTATTTTAGGATGAGAGATCTTTTTACCGGGTGTTGCTGGCACGGTGGCAGAAACAACTGTGTTATCCCTTTGCAGCTCTGCCTTGTAGGGCGTTTCTGCTTCCAGCTTGGTGAAGTATGCTTTGCAGGCCCTGTTCTCGGCCGCTCCCGCTCCGCCGCACTGCACGGATACGTCAGTGAAGCCGTCTGGAACCTCAGTGTCCAGGTGGATCTTGTAGGTTTGCTTGCTGGAGGCTCGCCACCTAACCTCGAGGTCGCCGGCGACAGGAAGTCGCTGAACACGGACCTTGAAGTCTAGAAAGGAGATCTAGTGATCAGGAGGGAGATAAGCCGAAGACAATAGTCAAGATGAAAGCAAAAACCACCAGTGAACAGACAGAGACCGGAATCCAACCAACCTTCAAAGTCAACCACCTTTGCCCCTGTGACTGCCCCTGCATCCACACCCACGGCGAGGACCTTGAACGTTGGATTTAATTCAGATATTTGGTCACTGATGTTAAGAGAAGAACAGATGTCCTGGGTGTCGCAAGAAAAGGTTTCGGGTAATACTCCGCTGGCTCCGTCTTCGTACAGGACAATTTCCATTCCAGCGAAGGTCGAGGACACAGTCATGACTTGCTCTCCTCCGTTATAATTCAGCTCTATCTTGTCCACACTCAGCTCTAAAAAAATAACATTGCAAAATCATATTACAGCACTGTTTAATCTTGGCTTTCGTTACTAGACAGCAGAATAGCTTCCATTCTGCCGTTTCTAAGCAGATTGCAGTGTTCTAACTACTTCCATACCCAAAAACTTCACAGTACTATGATAATACTATTAAAAATTATATCCTCATCTTGTCACTAATATTTCCACCGCTACTAATGAGACAAACATCCACATACCAACAGAAATGGTGATATCAAAATAACAAAATTTCTTTAAAAATGGAAACTACACTCACCACTGACGTTTTCTATAGACTGAGTCAGATCACACAGCCTGACTATTCCTCCGGCGGGCGCTGTGTTCTCGATGCTCACGCACACTTCGATAGAAGGAGCGGCGTTGCTGAAGTCCAAGGAATAAGATGTTCCGGTATTGAAGGTAACCCCGTTGATTTCCACATCGTTGTCCGTGTTGACTCTCAGAGGCGCCGTGTCTTCCCCGCCAACCCAGCTCATAGTTGGCTTGACAGCTGAAATTGATGTATGTATATATATACATATATATACATACATATATATATATATATATATATATATATATATATATATATATATATATATATATATATTGAAGAGATAACAGTATCAGTATCTGCTACCATTTCCATCATTATATAATGTGTAGTTATCTGATGAAGTACATGACAAACTTTTCAGTGCAACTCGTATATTTATCTATTGATTTCTTTACCTACCGACAGGAAGGACAACAACGGAATAGTAATTTCAGTTCAGTAAAGTCACCTTCATCAGTAATAACGCCGCCCCATGCTCTACTTCTTTTCACGACCCAGTACATGCGCTTCTTCTATACCTTTAAAAACAGCAACGACCTTCCCGGCAGCCAGAGCGTCGGAGTCGACACCGTCAGCCCCGTGGACAACCACCAGAACCGTCGACTCTGCGCCTGGGTTCGGCAGTTCCGCAACCTCGAATATAATGCTGTTGTCTCCTGCGGTAATGTCCATCGTGGTGTCCTTGAAGACGATGCGTTGTGTTGCCTCGCCATTGGTATCACCATCGTCGATCACCACGTATTCGACGTATTCAACCCCTGTGACATTTGCATCGGCCGAGAACGTGAGCTTCGTTTGCAAGGGAGATGCAGACACCTCGTAGAGTTGAGTAATGGAAAGAGGGATGGTTGCACCTTGATGTTGGGAAGAAGGTGGGTCTTTATAATGGGAACAATGAAGAGATGTATTACACATATCTGCATATCCTTGTGTACACGTGTGTTTGTAAATACATATACATATACATATATATGCACACACACACACACACACACACACACACACACACACACATATATATATATAAATATATATATATATATATATATATATATATATATATATATATATATATATATATATATATGTAAACTCACACACACACGGCGTGCATGTGCCTGTGTGCAATGTACATCGTGTACATGTGTCCACTGAGTAACCCATACTTACAAAGCAGTGCTCAATATTTCCCCTGCAACTCACCTGCGTTCGCCGGGGTTCTGTAAGACACAGCTATGTTATCCTTAATCACTTTCGCTGTGTAAACCGTATCTGGATTCAGGTTGGTGAAGTATGCTTTGCAGGCCCTTTGTTCAGTCCCGCCACACTGAACGGCTATGTCGGCAACGCCATCGGAAACGTCATTGTTAAGATGTACATTAAAATCTTGGTTGCTGGAGGACTGCCATCTAACCTCGAGGTCGCTAGCGTCACTGAATCTCTGGACAAGAGTCTGGAAATCTGGAAGAGGAAATGAGCGGAAATACATATATATATATATTTTTTAATTAAAACTGAATACAAAATGCGTCCAAACAGTAAGAAATACACAACTAACCTTCAAAATCTACCACTTTTGCGCCGGTAACATCTGGTGCACCCACGCCCACGACAAGCACTTTGAAAACGGGGCTTAAATTTGCCATCTGATCAGTGATGTCAGAAAAACATGTGTTCTCGGTGTCACACTCAAAGGTTACGCCTACAGTGCCGTTGTCCTCGGGGTTGTACAAGACAGCTTCCATTCCACTGAACGTCGAGGTTACAGTCATGACATGTTTTCCGTCGTTAGTATTCAGCTCTACTTCATTCACGACCATATCTGTAACATTGAGTGAAAGAGACAATGGAAATGTTCCGGGGTAGAGCGGTATATGTTATTTCTATAATGTTCTTTAAGGTGGCTGTTGTGGCATGTTTCATCGCACTGGTTATAAGAATTATTAGTGCGTTTGTAATGGCATTAGAAAATAAGACTATTATACATGAAACTATTGTAATGGCCTTGCTCTTAATATAATCAGTGTCATAACTCAGGTGTCATTTACATGCAGGATTGCTGTTATTTTTAAGTTCATTACATTTGATATCATTATTGTTATCAATCCTCAATTAATATTATTACCATTGGTAGTATCAATATCGTCTGCAATAAGTTTATTTTTCCTATAATCATGACTATCATCATCATCAATTTACCTGTCTTACTACTGTTACTATTAATGCCGAACAAACCAATGGCTCATCATTTAATCGAAAAATAGGAAACTATCCTCACCTATGAAGCTTTTAATAGACCGAGTCAGATCACATTGT